AATAAAGATGATGCGATGTTTGAAAATACAGAAAGCCAATCATAACCTGTTGCTCTTATGCTTCCTTTGTGCCTAACAGAATACTCAATATTTTTTTCTGTAATTTCTGAAGGGGAGTAAAAAGGTACTCTGGTGGCCTAGTGGTTAAGAGTTAAGGTGCTAACCTCTAAAGGCAACAAGTGGCTCAAATGTACCAGTTGCTCCTCAAAAGACCGTTGGCCAATTTCCTCCCTTGTGATTTATAGCCTTTGAAAGCCGGCTGTAGAGGGTCAATGCTTACCTAAAGGCAGTGAATGGTTTTTGTGGTAGTGCAGAAAAAGGGAGATCAGGTGCTGTAGTCCGTAGAATTGCACTGCTGCACCTAAAGGAAGCAGCCACTCTCCTCCTATGCTATTACAGCCTCAGAAAACCCACTAATGTGTCTTGCCACAAGTTGGTTCAATTAGAAAGCACTGAGTCTGATTTTTCTGAGAGAAGAAAATGCCCGGGTAATTAGAGTCTGGGATTTATGGACTTCCTAAACATAGCTGTTAACACTGAAGGTAGAAAAAGTACTGAAAACTTTGACATTTGCATTTTTAATACTCCCCCTTTTCTTAGAAGAGTAAGACCAGATTATCCATCCCAAAACTTCCCTGAAGGTTGCAATCCACCAGCTATCTGCTCAGTGGAAGTGATCTAGAAATTTTGTAATGTAGATCATCCCACTGTCCTACATTCGTTATTAAAACCCCATTTTATTTCCATTTAGAAAAATGCAGTACTTCTGCCACCTGTTTGAGGTTGAAAAGTAGTATCTGTTGTCTGTGTAGCCTCAGTCTACACAGAGAAACTGTTATGCTTCATAAAAAGGAAGCTTAAATGCCCCCAGTATTATAAAAAATTGAACACACCTCAACAATGTATCTGATTGATAAATGAAAACCAAGTTTCCTCTCAGAAATGATTATTAAACCTCCCATATGTAATGAAAAGTGAAATTTTCCTAATGTTGCCCACTCATAATTTTTGCCTAAGTGTACAGTAAAGATGCTGTAACACTCCTCACCCTTCTTGACACACTAGAGTCCATTGCAACAGTCACTTGGTCAATCCACCTGGTTGAGGGTCTTCCTCTGCTTTGCCCACCCTTTACAGCATCATGTCCCAAAGAGCACTCCAGCTGTACCCTCTCCAAGACATATTTATTTGCCCTTCTGGTAGTCCATGGGATGGTCAGTGATCTTCTCCAACACAACTCAAAAGCAGTGAGGCAAAGTATGTTGGCTTTTAATGAAGGTTCTAATCTGTTTTGCAAATGATAGAAAAGTAGACACACTGCATAATCACAAAATTAAAACCCCATTTTCCTGTACCCAAGGGCTTACTCAATAAGCAAGATAACCATGTATTATTAATAAGCATGCTTATTAATGTTACCACAGAGAGTAACTATTATAGACTAGAAAACACAAGTAAGCCAATGCTTCCCATTTACTGGATACTCTGTCCCTGTCAAAAGATTGTATATATGAAAACAGCTTGATTCTTTGCTGTGGGCTGGGAGAGACAAGACAGTAACCACACCTAGAAGCACAAGCACAATCTGATATTAGTAAGCAAACAAACCAACTCGTACATAACAGGTAAATCTGACTCTAATGAAGCGGAATGAGGTATTGGAACTAAAGGGTAATATAACATTTTAAAATGGAGTAATACACAAATGTGGTGTGGCAGTCTTGGAAGGCAAGTGGTATAGAAATACAAATTGTGGCTTCTTTTGCTGGGATACTGGATTGAGAGGAGCAGGCCAATGGACATACAATAAATTTATCTTCTGCAAAACCTACTTAAATTTCTTAGACTTGTAGGCTACATAGGTTTTAATGTCAATAATGCTGGCTGGCTACTCAGGTCAGAAAGCACAAAAACCTGACAGGTTTCAGTCCATCCTGTGGGCTCCAGCTTCTCTCTCTCACCAATAAGCATTTCCTCCCCAGTATGTATGGACTTCAAATACCAACTTTAGATACAGGCTCTTTTAACCAGCTCATAGCAATTCTTAAGGTCTAATATTTTTAAACAATAACATCTAGGAGTTTTGTCTTTGTTGAATACTGGCTACTGATACTGTGGAAAGAAAAAAGCCTACACGATAGATGTTTTCTGAAACCTGGCATTTATGCAAACCTAAGGTCAGTGATGAATTGCATTAGGAAAGACTGATGTCAGGAAACCTCTCATAAAAGGTCAGGGACAAATTGAATGGAGAAGAGCAATGATGTCAGTCTGGAGAAGTGCACATGGTTTTTGCAATTATTTGCTGTGCATCAGAAAGGTAGAAAATGAGGAGGGATGACAGAAGAATTGATGCCTTTGAGCTGTGGTGCTGTAGAGTACTGAATATACCAAGTACTTCCAGGAGAACCAGGTTCATCGTGGAGAAGGTGAAATCAGGGTGCTCCTTGGAGACAAGGATTCTGAAAGCTCCATCTGACATGAGGGACCAGTCTTTTGAGAGGGACATCAGGCTTGGGAGGGTGGAGGGACAGCACAAGAGAGGAAGGTCACAGATGAGATGAACTGACCCTGTGACTGGAAAAATGATGGTAGGTGGGACCAAGAAAATAAGGTTGGCTCAGGATAGAGCAGGGTTTAGAGCTACTGTACACAGGGTCACCAAGAGTTGCAAAACTACTCAATGTCATATAAAAAGGTCAGTGAAAAGCAGTTAAACTGTACATTTAGAATTAACATTTTTCTGCAGAAATCCCATCCATTTTTTATTTGGAATATTATTCTCATCCCTTCCTGCATGAGAGGGAGCTCTGGTGGCCTAGTGGTTAAGAAGCTGTGCTTATACTCCTGAAAGCAGAGTTTGAATCTGCCAGCTGCTCTGCAGCAGAAAGATGGGCACTCTCCAGTTTGATTAACAAATGGTCTGAAAACCCACAAGAGAGTCAGTTATGGGTCGGTTCCAACTCGATGGTACACAAAAACACTGCGCAAGAGAAGATGTGCCCATTTTTCTTCCACAGAACTAATGGTGAATTTAAACTGCTTAGAGAGCGCTGCCTATGGGTTAGCAACACATCTCCCAAGGGACTACGCCAGCTCCCTGGGAATAGTGTTTGCTGTAAGTTGCTGTCATCCTATGAATCACAATCATCCTCTGTGACTACTTATGTATAATTCCTCATACTAATGTTAATGACTGCACATTAATAAAGTAAAAATAACAGTTTTGAAAAGAAATGGTTAGTTATCATTTCCTCTATTTTTTAAGGGTACTAACAACTCCAATGAATATGAGTAAGAAATACAAATTAAAGAAAAATTTAAAATAAAAAAGGAATGAAATACGTTAGGACAGATTTGCTACAGATGTTGAGAAGTAAATTTTTTAATCTTCATTGAAAAAGCACTTTTCATCTCTTTTGCCCAATAGTGGAAAAGTAGTATATAAAGTGGTATTATGCAGGTTTTTTTTGATACCTGTTATCAATAAGGCCCAATTTTAAGGTCCAAGTCTAGGTTAATATAAAATTCTTATTTTTCTAATATTATTATGTGCACAGAGGTGAAACCAATTCATAGCTGATCATCTAGCAGATTTTTAGAAACCTGCCCATTTTCAATTCCGAGCAGCAGCTAGGGAAATCAAGATGCTTGCCTTTAGATGGCAACTCTTTCTGACAGGGCACCATAGTTCGCCAATTAAAGCTCATTTTCTTTTACCTCCCTTCACTTTTTTTCCCCCTTAAATGTTTGTGAAATTAGTAGGAAGCTTGCTATCCAAAATGATCTTAATAGAAACGAAGATTTTTTCAACACACTTTTTACCTTAGTGCTTAAAACATTACTTCAATCTAACGTTTAAAATTCTACAATCAACTATTAAGCGATCTGTTAAATATTCTACGGCAGGACACTTGCATTTTACTACAATCAGAAATGTGAACGAAGATAACGAGGTCTTTCTGCTCAAAGCAAAGCAAAGCTCAAATGTATCTGGATTCCTAAATTTGAATTTAAAAACACTTTTTTTGTAACCACTACCTCTTATTTATTCCTGAATCATTCAAGTAAATAAGGCAAACATTTTTCTAAAAAAGAAAAGAAAGAACCCATCATTTTATTTTTAACCATGTTTTTACTACCAAATACAAAACTTAACTGGTTTCAAGTAGTAAAGGCTTGTGCCTCAAAGCATTCCTTTGTATAAAAATGCTTGGCTGGGAAAACAAACAAACAAACAAACAAACAAAAAACTCCACCCAAAACACAGAACTCTACAAAGTATAAATCCCTTCACTATAGGATAAGTCATTATTTTATAGTATGCTTATCAGTTCTTTTGAAAAAGGTAAGATAGCTGTATTCAGAAGGGATTTCATTTCTAAATGTGAAAAATGCTTTTTACCAAAAATGCAGTATCTACCCAAAAAGTTGCAAGTTCAATGTTGTTAAACTTCATTTTTAAAATGCAACGGTAATCAGGACCATTACTACAGCTTCTTATATAGACAAAATTCTTTGTGATAAAATTTCTTTTAAAAGTTACTATAAACTGTAAAAACAAGGTTGTTTTTCTATATGTTATTTGATTTTTAGAAAAGGAAAAAAGAGAAAACCCTCCTATGCTCCAAATTCCAAGTCTTTTTTTTATCATTTTCCCTTAATCCCCAGGTAGTATTTATTTCTCAAATGAGTAAATATTTGATCTAGTATTTTACAGTAGATACAGAACACTGAACTTCAATACTATTCCTTCCAGAAAATGTATTTCTAAATTAGGTGGGCTAATTTACCTAAAGCATATCAAACCCAATTCCCATACCTTAAGTAAGGAATAAAATGTATTAAGACAGAAATGAAACAATTTTGATGGCAACTAATTATATCAGGACAGTGATAATTTGATCACTTAAACATGTAGATAGAAAAAAAAAATGATGAGGTCAATTTAACATTCAACAGTATAAAGTATTTTTTTTTAAAAAAACAAACAAACAAACCAGGAGCGTTAAGTTTAAGGGTTTTATTATCAAAGTCTTGTAAAACAATTTCAGAAACTGTACATCAACATGGCACAGACTGTAGCCTACTTTTGTTTTTACTGCACAAAAGTGAAGCTTGAAACTCCTGCAACTAAGAAAACAGTCACCTAACTACTTTGTATATAACATGGAATCACTGTGTGTAAGATTACTACTGCAGTAACAGTTAACACAAATATAATTGGTTTTATACAACTGGAGATCAAAATAAAAAGTACATTATCAAGTCCATGTTTTATTTTAAAAGCATATGAAGGTTAATTTAAAATGCACTATCCTCTTTTATCCCCAACACTGTGCTTAAAACAAAAAATTGAAATTTGGACAAGATAAAACTTTCACAGGTGGACTCAGGATAGGCAAGGCAGCTTTCACTGATGTTTATGTGGAATACATTATTACAGGGGGGAAAAAACCCCACAACCCCAAACACCTTATGGAAACGTATATAACTTTTACTTCAAAACAGGCTGCTGCTCATTCAATGCTGAAAGTTTTATTTGAAATCTGTTTTTGTACTTAAAGCCTAATTAGCCATCAAAAAGGTTAGTGCATATATAACCCTTCAAAGTTAAAACAAAAGCCACAAAAATTTAGCCACAAGGCTTAAAAGGATTATCTATTTCAAATGTTCATTTTTCAGATGTAACTATAAGAATGTTAATTTGTCATGTCAACAAACAAGACTGTTATGTAGATCCATCATGTTGAAGGATTTTAATGACGTTTAGAATATTCCTGCCACAATTAACATGCAATCAGTGCATTCCCTACATGGCTGTATTACTTACGGCAATGAATCAAATTCTAGAAAGACTATAAGTGAACTTATTTAATAAAAGAGATCATACAACATAAACAATCCATGCCTGCTGTAGATGCATGCAGCTTCTCATTTTTTATGTAGCAGCACCAGAATAGTAAAACTGCTTGTTTACTCAATCAGATTTCACCAAGACAAGAATTTATTACCCATGGACCATTTCTAAAAGCTTTTGATGTATGTTTCTAATATCAATATCAATATCAGGAGCATTATATAACCATTTTTAACTCAGAGCTGTATACATCTAAATTTGAGATGAACAAATACAGCATTAAGAAATCACACAAAGGAATGACACTGATGCATGTATACAGTTGGATACCTGCAGAGGCAATATTCAGTCACTCATATCCATGTCTTCTTCATGATGATCATCTCCATTCACTTTGGATTCTCTTAATGAATCACAAGTCCCCTTTTCCACAGAACATTCCTTTGTTTTAGGGGAACCTGCTTCTGTTGGCTTCTTTTCTTCTTTTTTCTCTTTCTCGCTGTCATAGCCTTGTTCCTCTTCATCATAATCTCGTGTGACCTGCTTTAGAGAGCAAACAAAGTAAACGTAAAAAAAAAACACCCCTATACTCTCTTAAGTATCAACTCACCCCGTTCTTATAAAAAAAATTAATTCTGTATACATACTTTTACATCTTTATCACTCTCTGATTTTCTTTCTCTATCTTTTTCCTTATCTTTACTCCTCTTCTTCTTACTTGTTGATCGTTCTCTTTCATCTCTACTTCTCTCTTTATCTTTGTCTTTCTTCTTTTCTTTTTTATGTCTAGAACAGTGGAAAAAGGACACAAAAAATGCTTCAAAGAAAACTCTCATGAAGTCGTCTAATAATTTTTAGATGTAAGTTTTGTTAAAGAAAGCTTGTCCCAATTTCTCGTATGTATGATAGCAAATATAAAATTTCCGAACACCAGAAAAAGAGACATGCATTTCTAATTTTTTTTTCATACAAAGCCACAAATTCCTTAAAAATAAGTAATTTCTGCAAAGTAAAGGATAGATTTAACACTCACCTCCTAGGAGATGGTGACCGAGATAATTTTCTTTTAGGAGACCTGGGCTTTTTGGGAGATCTTGTACCACTCCTGCTTCTTCTTCTTCTCCTCTCCCTAGAATCACAAATGAGCCAAGAATGCCTTAAAATACTGGTGTTGCCTCAAAAATGAGGATAGTAACCATTTTGATGTACTTTTGGTTTTTGTCAGCCTGCGCTTGTCACATTTCCTACAAGTTTTAGAGACCTGTACAACAGCCACTACATGTGCGAAAAGTAGATTAGAAGAACAAGATAAATAAGGAAACTAACTCCACATGAATCTGCCACAATCCAATTCTGATAATGAAAGACTTATTTTCACAATATTGCTTAAACCAAAAAACAAATGTATAATGGGAAAAAACAAACACACACAAACCACAAACACTGATTTTCTGCACTGTCCTTTTTTATGTACACAAATAACCGGCAATTATCACAGATTCTGACATAAGGTCACTGTAAATACTGAGATTTTAAGACATTAAATAACCTTGATAGCAAGCCAACTAGCCCACCTATATAATGGAAAAGGAAAAGGCAGCTGGGACTAAAGAAATCTTGTTTAAAACATTTAATGGCCAGAAAAGATAGAAATAATTCATTAATTTTGTGATGGAGAATTCAGTTTCATGAAAATACAAAAATAACAATTTTTAAAACACGAGGCAAAACAAGATGAACTAATTAGTGGTAAGATAGAAATCACATCAAATTCTTTAACTCTAGCAAATACCTTCCCTAATCATGATGGAAACTATTAGTTTTAAGACATATTAGCTTTTAAACCATCTTTTGTTTTCCATTCTGCTTTTCTCATTATTATTCAAAGACAGGACCTGCAAAATAATTACTGTATAATTTAAGTGCAAAGTACATAAATCATATAAAATTAAGCACTGTACTTGTTGTTATGTGCTGTTGAGTTGCTAGTGACATAGCAACCCTATGTATGAAAGCCCTATACTCTGCTCTATCCTGTGCTAATCTTATCTACGACACACTTATCCCTGTCACTGAATCAATCCATCTCACTGAAGGTCTTCCTCTCTTGCACTGTCCCTCCACCCTCCCAACCACGATGTCCCTCTCCAAGGACTGTTCTTCCCTCCTTGAAACATTTTCAGAATCTCTGCCTCCAAAGAGCAGCCCGGCTTTGCCCACTCTAGGTCAAAACTTGTTTGTTCTCTTAGCAGTCCTAGTATATTCAATACTTTCCTCCAGCACCACAGCTCAAAGGCATCACTTCTCCTGGCATCCCTCATCATTCTGATACATAGAAAGTAACTGTGAAGACTATGGCCTGGATCAGGCGCACCTTAGTCTCTAGATGACATCATTGCTCTTCAGTACTTTGAAGATGTCTGTTGAAAGACAACAGACTTTCCCAATGCAATTAGTCTTTTAATTTTCTGGCTTTTGGTACCAACAGCGTGGATTGTGGAACAAAGCAAACTGAAGCTGTTAATATCTCAGTATCTTCATGTCAAATGGTCCAGTGGAGAACAGCTTTGTTTTCTTGATGTTGAGCTTCAATCCTTGGCTTTCGGTAGCAAGAGCTTTAGGTCCTCAGTTTTAGCAAGCAGAGCTGTGTCATCTGCATAAGGCAGATTGTTGATAAGTCTTCCTCCAATCCTGATGCCACCTTTCTCCTCATGTAGCCCAGCCTCCTGTATAAACTGCTCTGCATACAGACTGAAGAGGTATGGAGGAAATAGGACTGACTCATCACTGGCAAACACCCTTCCTGATTTTCAACCATGCAGTGTTTCCTTGGTCTGTTCTGACAACTACCTCCTGGTCCAAGTGTTTTGCTAAAGAACTATCAAGTACTCTGGGATTCCTATTCTTCTCAGAGTTAGCCACAGTTTACTGTGATCCACAGAGTCAAATGCCTTTGCATAATCAATGACACACAAACAGACATTCCTCTGGTACTCTGCTTTGTGTCACGACCCATCTAACATTAGCTCTAATAACCCTTGTACCAAGGCCTCATCTAAACTGAGCCTGCTCTTCTGACAGTTCTCTGACATTAGATCTGTATTGTTTCCAAATAAGATTTTTTATCCTTGTGGCTATAATGACCACCTCTGGTCCTGAAAATATCATCAGCCAACTCAACATTTATCCATCGAATATTTACTCTATGTCAATTTTCCCCCCATTCTGCTAGTGTTTGCATGACTGATGCAAATTTCCTTGAGAGATGTTTTATACTGTACTAATATCACTGTTCCCAAATGGTATCATAACCATACACATGGTCATTTAATAAACAGTAAAGACACCAGAAATTAACAATTTAACAGGATCAGGTGCTCATTTAGAAAGAAGTTCATTAAAATAAGCATGAAAATTCCTCTACAATCTTTCAGGCCCCTTTGCCAAATATTCCCTCACATCTTGTTCAATATTTATACTTGAGTTCACTATTTTTGTTGTTAGGTGCCATCAAATATGACACATAGCAAACCTATGAACGAAAGATCTGAAAACTGTTCTATCCTGTGCCATCCTCACTTTCTGAAACATAGAGCCCACTGTGGTAGTCACTGTCTCATGTCAATCCACCTGGATAAGGATATTCCTCTTTGCCAAATTTCCACCCTTCCCAGTATCAAGTCCATCTCAAAGGAATATTATGACCTAGCAACAACATTCTTGCCTCCAAACAGCAGACTGCACCCTCTCTGTTCTTTTGGCTTTCCATGGGATGCTCAGAGCTCTTCTCCAACACCACAGCTCAAAGGCGTCATTCTTCTTCTGTCATCCTTATTCACTGTCCGGTTCTCAGATGCACAGCAAGTGATGAGAGTGACGGTCAGACACATTTTAGTCCTCAAACTGACCTCATTATTCCTCAGTAATATGGAGGTCATTAATTGCAGATTTTCCAAGTGCAATGCATCTCATTTCCTGACTGCTGGTACTAAGTGTGTTAATTGTGGATTCAAACAAGATGAATTTTTTGACAGTTTCAATCTCTTCTCCATGCATCATAATGTTGTCTACTGGTCTGGTGGGAAGAATCTTTGTTTTTCTTGATATGAGATGCAATCCATACTAATGTCTGGATTCCTTGAACTTCTGTTAACAAGTGCTTCAAAAGGCCTCACTTTCAGCAAAGTTATTTCATCTGCGTAATACAGGTTATTGATGAGTCTCCTGCTTCAGTTTGCTAGGCTCCAGTCAACACTCTTGGCACCAGCAGTCAGGAAATCAAAAAGCGTATCACGATGGGAAAAGTCTGCTGTTAGGGATCTCTCTAAAGTACTCAGGAGCAACAGTGTCTCTCTGGAGACTAAGGTGCGCCTGACACAGGCCATGGTATTTGCAATCGCTTGTTATGCATCAGAGAGTTGGACAATGACTAGGGAGGACAGAAGGAGAGTTGATGCTTTTGAGCTGTGGTGCTGGAGAAGAGTACTGAATGTACCATGGACTGCCAGGAAAACAAACAGATTCATCTTGGAGAGGATTAAACCAAGCTACTCCTTGGAGGCAAGGATTCTGGGGCTTTGTCTGACATACTTTGGACATGTTGCCAGGAGGGATGGGTCCTTGGAGAGGGACATCATGCTTGGGGGGGTGGAGGGGACAGCGCAGGAGGGGAAGACCCTCTATGAGATAGATTGATTCGGTGACTGGGGTAATCAGGATGGGTGTTGTCAGAGGCGGTGCGGTTGGCACAGGATAGAGCAGGGGTTAGGGCTGTTGTGCATAGGGTCGCTATGAGTCGCAAACGACTCGACGACGGCACATAACAACAGCAACAACACCTGCTGATGCAACTTGCATATGAGTAATTGATGGTCTGACCCACAGTTCGCCCCTAGCCTACTTCTGACTGCCTACATTAAGATTCTCCAATGATTTCTTCTACAAATGTAGTAGATCTGATTCCTATGCAGCCCATAAGGTTAGATCCCATGTGTAAAGTTGTCATTTTGTCTTTTCAAAGAGGTACTCAGTGGGATTGGACTTGAGGGTAGTACACAACACCACCACCATCACCACCACAAAAACAAAAGAGGTACTTTTGAAATTACCATTTTCTTGGTGACCCCTCCTACATCAATGGCTTTAGTGAATCCATATAATGAGTACATTTCTTAATTCTCACAACTAAAACATTTCATAATATTATCGCATACTTCCTAAGACAAGAGAACAGTATAAACAAACACTTTTTGGCACTGGGACCCCAAAACATTCTCTTGACTTACTTTATGACGTGATTTATTGAAGTGGTCTGGAACAGAACCTTATAGGCATGTTAAATACTTCAATAAATCAGTTCTTTTGTGCAGTATGTTTTCATATTGCACAGATGTATCACATTTTATAAATCCATGTATCCAGTGAAGGACATAGATTATTTTGTCTTTTTTGCTGTTAGGAAAATTTTGACAAAAGTTGTGTATATAAGTTTTATGTCTCAAGTCTACTGAAGTCATATCCTCCCCAGCAGGATTTTAAACACTGTAAACTTGACGGGAGATTGCCAATCTTTCCCCCACAGAGCACCCTAGTTTTGGTGTAGATTTAGGTTTTAATTTTCTTTGTGCATATAGTTGGGCAGATCCCTAAAACTGATCAATCAAATGGTAACACACTTTAATTTTTTTAGGACCATAAGACAATTTCCAAAAGTGATTCAATCATTATAATTCCATCAGCAGTATTTGAAGTATCCAACTGTTTGACATTCTCATTTAACACATTTATGTTTTTTAAATTATAGGCACCTGTGCCTTTTTATTATGGGGGTTTTGGGGAGTATAAAATTGTCTTCTTGCCATTTTGATTTGAATTTTTGATGACTGATGATATCAAGTATCTTTACTGAAGTATGTTTTAATTATAGTTAAAAGTTCTCTATAAAGCCAAGCTAAGTTAATAAAAATTAAAAGTCAAATGTATAGTAATGAGCTCAAAGAAAATTGAGGTAAGATTACTCTGAATATTATCATGAATATGTTGTTGTTATGTGCCGTCGAGTCGTTTTCGACTCATAGCGAACCTATGCACAACAGCCCTAAACCCTGCTCTATCCTGCGCCAACCACATTGCCTCTGACACACCCATCCCAATATATTCAACATAAATTAATATAGCAAAAATAGAAATTGACCTTTGAATTCTGTAATGTTTCAATTACCCTGCACACCATAAAATACTATGTAAAAAGAGAGATGAACTAGGGTTATTCTTTACAAACTGCCTTAAGTTTCAGTGTAAGGGCAAGGTTTAACTTCTTTTAACATTGTATTTAAAAACATGTATCTGTTCTGGAAAACAGGTCACATTCACAGGGAACTTGTTAACCAACCAACCAATGCACCAACCCACAAAGATGTCATGGTGATAGCCTTACCTGCTTGCACTTCTAGAACGCCTTGCTGTGCTGTAACTTTTTGGTGGTGTTTTGGATCGTTTCTTTTCCTTATCTTCTTTCTTTTTATCTCTAATAAATCAATATAATTGATGAATTCATGAATTCTATGTATGATTCAGCCAATGTAAATTTCTATTTCAAAAACTACCCTGAAGATCCATTTCCAATTCACTACTTGAAACCACTAATGGACTTCTCAAAGAAAAATTTGCCAACAGAAGGTCAAGAGGTATACTGGAAATTTTCATTCTAGTAGTATACATAAAACTCTTTAATGGAACAAAACAGACTACATGAAGAGAAACAATTATGCCCACTGGAAGGTCAGCTACGAGCTGCCTTAATGGCAGCGATTTCAATTTGTTATTCTAAGCTAAGCTCTCTATCCCATGTTCACCATTGCATTCATTCCTTCTCTCTTATATCAGTTTTGTACTTTCTCTTGACTAAATCATTATTATTGGATTCCTAGATTACTGTAACATTGCTAATGGAAGTAATTCATGTCTCTGACAAATTCTGAACGATCAAGAAAACTTTACATAAAAACTTGAAAATATTCCCTTATTTATCATTAAGTCAAGGTCAAATATATCAAAAATACTACAGAATCATTTCCTAACTGAAGTCTCATCCAACATATCGATTTTTGCCCTTGCAATTCTAATTATAACCCTTTCTAGAGGTGAGGGACAAGTTAAGTACAAAAGCCTTACTAAACCGGCTACTTTTGAACCAATTCTTGTTCATAGTGAACCTACAGGATGGAGGAGAAAAATCCTCATAAAATCCTAAGGCTGTAAATGCCAGACAGAATCCAACTCTAAATTTTTAAGCAGCAGACTGTCAAATCTTTCTCTTACAGAGTATTTGGTGTGTTGGAACTACCAACCTTTCAGTCAGCAATCAGGCATTTATTTAACCACTGTGTGATCAGTGATGAAAGGAATGCCTAATTCTTTGCATGAGTCCATTAATCACAGTGACATGATCTATAACTCTGATTTATGGACACTTTTCTGATGCAAAATACAACAGCTAAAAGCTTGATTTTACAGGCTGAATACTCAAGATCCTCTAAAAGTGTTTGTGTCACAGAAGACCTTAATTTATCTTCCCCAAGTAAACAGGGTGCTATACCTATTTTTTGATGTGCTCCTTGACCTTCTACCTCTTTCTCTGGAATGAGATCTTCTCCGTCTTGGACTTTTGGACCTTCGCCTGCTCCTTGACTTAGAATGTGATCTCCTCCGTGATCTGCTTCTTGATCGCCTTAATAATGTAAAAGGAGAGCAGAACATACACATAAAGGCAAGAATTATGCAGCAGTTACACATTTCTGAACACTCATTCACAATGTTACAGCACTATTTATTAAAACACTCTTTAGGAACTAAGGAGGTTAAAAGGAAACAAAATAAGGGTGTGACAGACACATTACCTCAGGCTAAGGCAAAAAAATTTGCAAATCTAACCTGTGTCTAGAAGATGAGGGAGTCCTCCTTCTCCTTGACCGTGATCTTGACCTTGAATGTCTTCGTTTTTCTTCCTTCTTATCTGCATTTTACAATATTAAAACGAGTTATTCTAATACTTTCAGTTTTTCATATAACTTTAACATCATCTACATTTAAGCTTATTTTTTAATATTATCCTGTAGCCTGCATTTAAATGTAAGATATTCCAAATAAAACGTTTTAAATTCTTGGCCTTGTGAAAAAAATACTTTTTAGCAAACTTACTTGTATGTTTGGGAAACAGGGGAAGACACTGCTTCTTCACCTTCTTTTTCTACTACTTACCTCTATTTTCAAATAAATGTCCTTATCTATAAGTCAGTTAATTCAACTTCTGAGATATAATAATTTTGGTTATGTAAGCCCTCTCTCCCCAAAATATACTCATTATTTCTTTGCCTAACATGATTTTAAGCTACCAGAACCATATGTACAACTGAAATAAAAAAAAAACCAAAACACCAAAAATCCCACACCAAAGAACAAAACCAAACCAAACCAACCAAAAAATACAAACAAACCACACAACCCCCCAAAAAAACCCCGACAGGGAAGTGTGAACATACTCCCTCACTAATGCAGTCTTCAACAGAACCGAAGCTCAATATCAAGAAAACAAAGATTCTCATCACTGGGCAACTTCACAATAGACAGAGAAGAGACCGAGATTGTTATCAACTTTAGCTTGCTTTGTTCCCCTATCAACACTCTTTTTTTTTTCTTTTTTCTTTTCTATCAACACTCTTGGTTCCAGCAGTCAGGAAGGAAATCAAAAGATGAATTGCATTGGGAAAGTCTTCTTTCAGAAACCTCGTTATAGTATAGAAGAGTAACGATGTCAGTCTGGAGACTAAGGTGTGTTTGATACAGGTCATGGTCTTCGCAATTATTTGCTACGCATCAGAGAGCTGGACAATAACCAAGGATGAAATAAAAAGTATTGATGCCTTTGAGCTGTGGTGCTGAAGAAGAATGCTGAACATACTTTAAACTACTAAGAGAACAAACAGATCTATCGAGGCGAGAATGAAGCCAAGTTTCTCCTTGGAGGCTAGGATTTTCAAGATCCATCTTGCACACTTTGGGTACAAGGCCAAGAGGGATCAATGTCTTTGGAGAAGGTCATCATGCTTGGGAGGGTAGAGGGACAGCAGAGGAGAGACAAAGGATAACATGGATTTAATCAGTGACTGGACAAATGGGATTAAGTCTGTAGAGAATAAGAATGGTTCCAGATAGGATCGGGTTCAGAGGTAAGGTAAATAGGTCTGAGTTGCAGGTGACTTGACAGCACACAACAATACAGTGTTCCAGAGTGCATAGCATCTAACAACCACCACCACCACCACCACCACTGCAAGTATGCAGTCGAGTTTCCCACATGTGAAGAAATCACAGGGATCAATACATCCAGAGAACAATAATGCGTAGGCAAATTTAGCCCAGGGAATTCCACCTCTGTGATCATGGTATCTCCTTGGCCGCATAAGTATATGAATTCTTACTTCTTAAATCTTCTAACATGGCATACGAAAGGTGTCAATTATTTATCCAAATAAGATGAACTAGTTTCTCCATTTACCATGAGGTAGCTTACTGGTGAAAATTTCTGTCATTTGGATGTTGAAATGCAATCTACTATTGAAGGCTGTACTCTTTGATCTTTAGCAGAAAATGCTGTTAATGTCCTCCTTATTTTCAGCAAGCACTGATACTCCACAATGCAGGCAATATGCTAAATGTAGTTTGTTGAGGCATATTTCTCCTATCCTTTTTCTTCATCGTGTTCAGTTTCTTGAATCTTTGTTCAGCATATAGACTGAGTAGGTAAAGAGAAAGGCTACAACCCAGGTGCACACCTTTTCTTATTTTTTTTTTAATTGAAATTCCATTTTTGTTAGTTTCTTGAAAAAACAAAGATCTTAACTCAGTGACCACATATACAAAGGCAAAGTAAACTCACAAGGAACTAATCTTCTCATCATTTTGAAGGTGCTAGCAGATCACTAGCCTGATGTCTTTTCCATTTCATGAGTGTTCAGGAAAAAAAGTTGCTAGTTTTAATATCGTTATCTAGACTTCAACTTAATGTGCAGTTTATGGTGTACCTTTTCTATTTTTCAACTATGCCATGTTCTCTTGCTCTGTTTGGAAAACAGTTTCTTGATCTAGGTTTCATATGAGTGTAATTGTTTTTAGGATCCACTTCTAGAATGTTAGTCATAGTTATGATCCACATAGTCAATATATTCCAGACATTACTAAACTGAGATGGACCGGCAGAGGCCACCATGAATCAGATAATCATGTGATCTCTTATCAGAGGAATGAAAAACTGAGAAGAGTGTTGTACTCAGCAAAAAAAAAAAACAAAACAACACAACAACACAAAAAACAAACACCCAACAAACAAACAAACACCAAAAACAAAACCCACAAAAAACGCCAAAAACAAAAACTTAATTTCAAGGACTATCTTAAAAATATTGTGATATTATACATAACTATATAACAAAGATAGTATTCAACTATTTGCACCACTAAGTAAAGCCAAAGATGGTATCTCCCAACTTTTGCAATCTGAAATTGAACATGCATGTAATTAAGATGCATTATTATTAGTGATCAGAATGCAAAAATTGGAAATAATAAGGAATGATGGCTGGAAAGCACAGCCCTGGTGATAGAAATGAGACTGGACATCAAATGACAACATTTTATATGCTCAATGACTTGTCCATCACAAATATCTTTTTTAAAAAACACTTAAGCTGTGGCATTTGGACAAGAACAAACTGGGAGGAGGGTAGAGAGAATAGTGCAACAAGGAATGAATGGAAACCCAAAATCTCTGTAAATGTTTATGAAAATTAATAAAATATAGGGGAAAAAAAAACCACTTAAGAGTGACTTACAGAGGGACCTCACCTGCAAGACCGCACAGGAATCAGATTAAGTACAATCTGAGGAAATAAGCTTTTGAACAGAGCTCATTATCAGCTGTAAAAACATGCCAGATGATGACTGTGGTGACTAACAACTACTTACATTGAAGTTCAAAATGAAGTTGAAGAAGATTAAAATAAATCACAAGCAAAGTATGCTCCTGAGACTGCCCTACCTGAATTTAAAAAATATCTTCAGAATAGGTTTGAGACACTGAACATTAATGGTCAATAACCAGATGAGTTATGGAATCAAACAAAAAAACTCATCATCCAAGAAGAGAAAAAAGATCATTACAGAGAAGGAGGAAAACACTGAAATGGCTAGAGTGTGGAGAAGCCAAAATAAAGGGAAGATATGTGAAGTAAAAAAGCTAAACAGGATTTCAAAGGGCAGCTCGAGAAGGCAAAGCAAGTTATTGTAACAGAATGTGGACAGAGCTGAAGTTGGAGAATAAAAAAGTGAAAACTCGTTTGGCATCTCTCAAGTTTTAAGAACTGGAAAACAAACCCAAGTCTCAAGTTGCAAAACTGAGAGGCACTATAGGAAAACTTTTGAATGATCCAAGTATCAAAAGACGATGAGAGGAATACATAAAAAGAGCTGGTTGCCACTGAAAAATTTCAGGAAGTACAGTATGAACAAGATCCTTCATATAATTTAAGGATTAAATTCAAGACGCCCAGAAGTCACTAGCAAAAAATAAGGCTGCAAATGGATAAACTGACATCTTTCAAGTAACAGAGGCAGCCCTAGAAGTACCCATCAGTCTAAGCCAGGAAATCTGGAGGACAGTTACTTGGTAATGGACTGGAAAAGATTCTCATTTGTTCCCATCCCCAGAAAGGTCATTCAACAGAATGTGGAAATTATTGAACAGTATCAATTATCACATGTAAGCATGAAAGTGGATTATTAAAAAAGAAAACAAAAAAACAAACCAACCCCAGCTAGAACAGTACACTGGCAAGAGACTGCCAGATGCTCAAGTTGGATTTAGAAGCAGCTGTGGCACTAGGGATATCATTGCTGATGTCAGATGTATCTTGGGTGAGAGCAGAGAATACCAGAAGAATGTCTATTTATGTATTTTTAGAGAAGTAATGTATATAGTTAAGAAAGAAATATACGGAATGAGATTTCAGTGTGAGCAAATGTGGCAATCTTTCATAAATTTCAAAGACTTGAAAATCCTGTGGGGCAGTTCTCTGTCATAAAGGGTTGCTCTGAGTGAGGAATATGTTTGACATGGTAATAATGCATGTAAACCAGAAGAATTTCTGTATTAAGAGTAAAATAAAACCATACATAATGTGGGACAGGATCCAAGAACCAAAATACAAACATGTACATAACATATACATATATGTTAAATATTGGAATAAACACTTATTTTACCTTAGACAGTTTGCAAAGATTAAGTATTCATTCTTAAATAGCATGAATAAATAATATAGAAGTGTCTTAACCAAAAACTGCAGTACAAACAAGTCAAGTATTAATGAGGCTATCTCAAATGAGCAAATATGAATAAAAAACAACCAAAACAGCATTCCACATATCAGATAATCTACTATCAAAACTTTGAACTAGATCATTCTTCTGTTGTGGGGTCTGTGTCACTTATTGCAGAATGCTTAATATCCCTACCTTTACCTATTAAATGTAGTTGGTGCAACATACTTAATTGTTCACAGACATTTCCTGTGACAAAACTTCACTGGCCCCACTTCCCAAATGCTTATCACTGTACTGCACGGTTTTTATACATTAGAATTCAGAACTTTGCTTGTGTGCCAATCATACACTTTAGGAGTATACAAAATCACATTAACACATTTTACCTGGTTCTATAGCAGCAGAAATTAGGGACTGTGCTTCTCGTACTCTTTTCATTGCTTCCTCAATTTCTTTACTAGAGGTATCAGACTTGAGACTTGGAGAAACAAGTCCAGCAGCTACATGGTTTAACCTGAAGACAACCAAGATTCAAACAGAAAATATTTTAAAATGTATAGAAGGCGTTTAAACATAGCGTATACAGAGAACATCAAATATAGGCATTATCTTACAAACTGAGTGGTAGGTACAAGCTTGTTCTTTATCTTAATTTTCAAAAGGGCACCAGCTACACAATTAAGTCATTCTTCCTTCTTTAAACTCACAAATTACAAGAGGGTGGAAAGAAGCATAAAACCATGGATATCAGAGAATTAACCTATCCTAAATTTTCATGTTGGGTATTTTAACCAAGAAGGAAACTTGTTACTAAATGAAAAATACTTATCACAGCACCAATAAAAGATGTTGGATAGTATTATCATGTATTAAAGTATCCCTCACTTTTGATTAATCTCCATTTGTTAGAACTAAGCCCCACTGATGTTCAAATTAACTTCTTTCCCAGTATGTTAACTTTTCATTCTTTGTGCATGTATACTAACTTGCTTTGGTAGAATATACATACTTTATTATATTTAAATATTTAAAATAGTTATTCTCAAATGATTTAGAAAGCGGTGGGGGGCTCATAGGAGGCAATTATTCTGAATGAAGTTAAAGAAAAGAATTATATTCCTATCTTTCTGATACATACTATTTAAAATTTTATGGAAACCCTAAATTACATTAAAATAAAACTCACAGATGAAACTTTTTTCCCCTTGGATTTTTTTTCCTACTTGCTTCTAAAGACAGAAAATAGTGCCTGTCTTGGTAAGAAGCTTTTATTTCACTTAAAAACAATTCTCTCTAGTCAACATCTTATCCATATAGATAATTCATGGAAAAAAAGGAAAAATTCTTACTTAGGATCAACAGTACTCATAAGCTTCAACAGCTGATCTGCGGCAAGAGACTATAAAAATAAAAATATATGGACATTAACAATACATAAAACAAATGTTGCAATCCCACCAAAAGTAATACACTCTAGAGAAACTATGCCAGTATATAATGAAGCCAGATGCCTCGTATTAAATTTTGTAGTAGTCATGTTTTAAAAGTTAAAAAAACCTAGTTAATATCAAACACTCTAAAGTTGGGCTGTAGCAAATTAAATCTGAATGTTATGAAGTTGTGCTTTTATAAAGATAGCGCATTACATAAAAATGCCAGAAGACCTCCAAAAACTGTAGACCCCTGGAAAATGGCTAGGTAGTGGAATTCAAGAATCATTTCATGTGAATAACTGAAAATCAATTACAAATCGACTTTCTCATTCTTGTTTCTCTGTGACATTTCAGTGTAAAACATGAACTATATAAAACAAGATTATTTTTTAATGAGAAAAATAGTAATAATTTAGTGATATTTAAAAATTCTTTAATAGGTTACATTATGAAGAAAATTACTACCTCAGTTGAAATAATATTCAGTTAATGAAATATATGCTTGTACCTGAGAGTTCAAGTTTGCTCCTGGAAGCCCAAGAGCAGCAAGGGCAGGATCAAGAGTAGGAGCTCCCAAAGCTGCCAGTGGAACAGCGCCAATCTGTGAAATTTCAAAACTATTTTATTCAAAAGTTCATTTTTGTTCTCAATACCAAAGCTAATCAACTTTTTTCCTTTCAAGGTTACATGTATTTAAGGTTATGAGTCCTGTGGTTTCTGCTTTAGCTACACAACTCTGCCATCAGAGCTGGAAAGCAATAACAGACAAAAGAGAAATGAATTAAGAGTAGTTATGGTCTAATAAATATTAACAGAATCGATACTGGATTATACAGTTTGGTGGCCCTTGGTATTTGAGAAAAAAAAATGTAACATGTTATTGTATTGATTAGTAATTATTGTTTTTCAGTTCTGAGTCTACTCTTGTTTGTTTAAAAGAATCTTGGTGTTATATAGTGATCAAAGCACTTGGCTGCTACTCAAAATGTCAGCAGATTGAACTCACACACACTCCTAAAAGAAAAGTGGACTACTCTGCTTCCAAAGAAGTTATGTCTTAGAAACTGTAAGTTATACTCTCTCCCACACAATTACTGAGTTTGAATCAACTAAAGAGCACAAAGCTTTGGGTTGCCTTGCCGGAGGAAGGACTCTATGTCCCATTTCTGCGTGTCCCTAAGGAACCAAAGAGGATAATCTGTGGCCTTGACCTTTAAGAATGAGATATATATATATATTCTGTGGCAATCCTGTGGACATCTACCTAGCAAGTTTTATATGACCACTCTGAGAACTTTTCCATTACCCATTCTTAAAAGGTTTCTTCCTTATATTCTTTGTCTCAGCACTAAATGTAGTAGCTGCATCTTATAATTGCTATTTAAAAGTACACTCCCATGTAGCTATTGACTGTTTGGGAAGAACATTGTTGTTCTAAGTGGTATAGCACTTGTCTGGCAGTTTGCTGTACTGTGGTAACTTGGGGTTGCTGTGATACTGAATGCTATGCCACTGGTATGACAAATGCTATAATGGCTACCCCTGGTGGACAGAGGGTGTTAAGAGCTCCCAGATAAAGACAAGTTTGGAAGCAGGATTGGCATCTACTTCCTAAACAAAAGGCCTTTGGAAACTACGAACATTAGAGAAAAGAAGACAGAATATGGTTTGGATCTTTTGTTCATAGGGTCACTGTGAGTTGTACTCAATTTGACAGCATTTAACAACATCAACATGTTCTAATGATAGTGATTATTTCCTGATCCAAATAAGTAATTAAAAAGGCAAAATCCTACAGCTTTATAGAGGTTGTCTGACAGTTTTCACTTTCTAAGTATAAGGGACTAAATTTTCTACGATTTAGCAATTTACTGAACAGTGAAAAACATCTGAGTAGTTAGAACAGCTATTTAAATGCCATTTAATTAGAAAATTACATGATCCATACATTATCAAGGTTAGAAATATAATCTAGTAGAAATAAATGGTCTTCAGTTCTAAACATCTGCCCCGTACCTACTATCCTCAAGAATCTTTCAGTGTTTTAATGCTACCCAATTAATTTAATTATCAAGGGCAACCAAATAAAAAAAGAGGTTACTCAGGTAACAACACTGGAGAAGTTTAACTTTTTAAAAAAAATTTAACAGTGGCTAAAATGCTATTCCAAGAGATTTCCTTTACTACTTAGGACTATTAACTACTTTAAAATACTGGGCACACGTAGCCACATATTTAAAGAATTTATACCTGTGTAAGTGGGTTTGGAGTAGGCAGGAGTCCACCACCAGGCAGAAGACCTGCCACTGCATTTGCTGGTGCCAACAGAGACAAAGCCTTAGTCTCATCAGGAATAACTCCTGCAGAGAAACATTCTTGCATTAGAACACATTCTTTTGGAAGACAGAAAACACACAAAAACACCCAGAATATGTCTCCCTGATACACCACCTGAGTTTGCTGAAAGTACTTATGTTCGCTAAAATATAAAGCTTGATTTCTATGATTATTTATCATTAATTTTATGTCAGAATGAAACTGTGTGAAAATTTGCTTCCTTTTTCTCTACAAATGGTTAAGTTTCTAGAGTAAAAAAAAATAGCACAATACACACTACTTTTTTGTTAACACTGCCAAGATTTCATCACCTGTACTCGATTTTTAAGTCATGAACCAAACGTAAGCAAGCACAGTCGGTTCTCCAGGGGTGTGCTCTCAACTTTCAAAAGCTGTTTTATGAACAACGACTCGTGTCGGCTGCTTCACTATAAAGCACACAGAAAAATCAAGATACACAAGACAAAAAAAGTTTGATTTAGGGGTTAATAATATGGTACAGTTACTATGATTTTTTTTTTTACACCTACCATACAAATTTCGTAAAAATTAAGAGAAGAAAAGTATGTAAAGGAAATAACTCTGTTGGAATCAAGCGTAGGGCTTTTGCTGACTCATCAAAAGGAATGTTTTTGAAGGTCTCTGAATACACTCAGGATGCGTGTTGTAGGAGAAAGAGAGAGAATATGTAAAACAACATGGCACATTCCTTACCTGTATAGTAAAATGCTTTCTGTTCCAACATGTGCCATGCTAACCATACCAAAAAATGCTAACTTAGTCAAGCTCCTTAAGCCAAAAGACATGTTTATCTGTTTTGAAAAGCCTAATCTGTGTATTCAGATAAAATCTAAGGGTCCTAAAGACAAGTATTTATGTAGACAATTTAAATTCTATCCAACAGCAAAAGCCCTATACAAATGGATTAATCTGTTAATGTGCCCAAGCCCCCAAAATGAGAGTTCAATAATACAATTAAACTACATATTTGCAAATACCAGTAGTATTTCTGTAATACATATTAAGAAACTGCATCTCATCATAAACATACAATATGTACAGGGCACTTAAGAGAAACTGGATAAGCTGCAGAAGAAAACTGTTGGGTGGTATTTTCAGCAGGGCCTGGTATATAGTTCAGGCTGAACCAGGGAAAAGAACTGTAAAACACAACAACAAAAAAGAAAAACCACTGTTAAATAAAGGTAATGGTTCCTTCCACCTATACTGAGAAGTGCCGATAATATAAACAAATGTATACTACACAGCACTGTTATCTTGCTTGTGTCAGAGCTGTCATCAATTTAGATACCAAGAGTTATGGAGGGGGAGGGGAGAAGATAATTTAGATATAGGGCATTAATGCATCAATATTAACAAACCTACAGGATTATGGGATAATTTTGCATGCAAAATTATGTTTCAAGAGGATCTATCAACATCTTACTCAAATTAGTGCATTTGCAACATTTCTGGTTAACTACAATCCTCTTGAATTTATCTGTGAGACACCTGATAGAAGATCTGCATCCATTAAAAAAATCATGCATCTGATCCTCTGATTAAAAAAAAAAGACTATTTAAAAATAAAACTACAATTTAAAAATAGCAATGAGGCCCCTCACCAGTTAATTTTCATGCGTCAAGAGTATTTTTTTTACTGCTGCTTTGATAGAACCATGAAATACTGCATGAATGTGTAGAAATGAAAGAAAAAGAAACAGACAAAAAGAAACAAACATTAACCAAGGAACCTAAATAACCCCCAAATCCATTACTATTAACGATTTTCTCCAAATCCAGCTATCTTAAGACTATTCCTTACCAAACTTTTGTGTTTAGTATTCTAAAACACTGACCAAGAGTCAACACGAAAGTGTAAGAGCTGAAAAACTAGTGAAATTTTTTGTTTGTAGTTATGACTTAACCTACAATAGGCAAATTGGCAAAAAAAGGAAATGACAGAAGAACTTAGTAAAGACAACATTAATACAGTATATCATGCCCGAAATACACAAAACCACATTTCTGTACTACACAGATCTTGATTTCTATAAATATATATATAAACACACACACACACGTATATTTTACTTTCAAATCCAAATCGAGAAAGGTAAGAATTTAAAAATGCTTATGAAGCCAGTTATGATATACTGTATTATGTCCAAGGCTTGTAAAAATACTTAACCAGTACAACTTATTTAATCTCTAAAATGTTTTGTATATTATTCATAGGATTTGACCTTTTCTCCAGGAACTACCATCATCCTTTACTCACTCTCAATTTAAGTATTTCAAACTTTTTCTTGGTAGTTATGATTTATTCTATAACAGGTAAACTGGCAAAAAAAGAAACTGCTTAACCAAAACACACTAACTCAGAAGTTTATCAGGTTTTTTTCTTTAACTCAGAAGTTTATCAGGTTTTTTCTTTTTTAAACGTAAATCTTTTATATCATGGAGACAGATGTACTACCATTATATAGCATGCCTTACTCAATCTATGGCTGTAAGCTAATTTCTTAGAAAACCACAGCGGCAATTTCTGTTTTAAAGCCTAGGCATTTCACAACTTACAAAGTACAACAATACTGATATTCTGCTTCCACTGACCAGTTTATTAAGGAAAGAGTAATGCATTTAAAATCCTAGTCAGTGTATCTGTTAAATTATTACTTGAAATTCAGTTAATTCTTTCACAATTATGTGAATCCTCTGACAAAAATTTAAAGTTACCAAAGAGTAAATCAAGTAACAGTATAATGGGAACAAACTAATTATAAATCTTAGAAAATGTAGTAAGATCGCATTAAAATAGTGGTGTCTTGTCACACTGGTTTTTTAGATCCAGAAAACCTGCTCATTTTTTTTTGTCAAATTACTTTAACAGCCTAAAATGTAAAAAAGAGAGAAAATGTAGTTAATAAATGGTTACACCAGGAAAACACTTGGGGGACTTGAGTGCTTGCTGGCCTTTAGTTAATGTCTAGAATCCTCTGTAGCTGCAGAGGACCCACAGTTTTTCAGTCATCTGGAAGGGTTTTGCATTTGCCTTCTCCACTACAAAAATCACACACACAAATAACAGAGAGAAGAATTTATTATTTAGAGATATTCTAGAAAATATAGCAAGAATGAACAAGAATCTGGCATAAATTCAAAACACCCAGTGCCCATCTGGCACCTAAACTATAAGAAATACTGAAATTTTTGCAGAAATAAAAATATTGTAACCCTTGGTATACTGGAAGAATTCAATGCAGGATTTCCCACCCTTATGTTATCAGGGAGAGAACACAATGAGGAAAGACCAATCTAATAATTTACTTAAAACAAATAATAGTCATGCATTTATATGAAGGTGTCTGTGTTGTCTCAAGAAATAAAACCACGTTCTGCCACGAATTTTCACAAATACATTAAATTTGCTAAATACATGTATCTTAGAGAATTAAAATGATGGACATGGCTTTAGCAAAAACTTAAATAAAGTATTTTAAAAGAAAAGTTAAAGTTATCTCATAAGAAAGAGAATTGACTTGAAATTACTAGAATTAAAAAATGACCAAGTGAAAATCATGGAACACAGTATAACAAGGGTTTCAAATGTTAATAGTTTTTATTTTTAGCATGTGACTAACGCTCACTTTATATAACTATACTGAGGTAGATTAGATGGGTAACCCCATGTAGGTAGTTAAACAAAGCACAAACCTTCTGCATATGGTACGACTATCAAAGCTCTGTCAACGAATACAGTGTTTGTCAGGTGCTGTGCCACAACTGCTGAGTCGGGATCATGGAACTTAACAAAGCAGACTCTGGATGAGACTGGCAAAGGTGAATCACTAAAAAATAAATGAGAAATTAATATTATCAACTATAACACAAACCTGTAATTCACAAGTCAATACTTGTCTTTCAAAAGCAAAATCACTTAAATGAATATGTTAGTTTAACTAGGTCAAAAAGATTTAAGTTATATTTGAAATAAAAGTCTCAAGAGTATGTAGATTCTAGATACATTATCACCTTATGGTTAGTATTTGTATCACAATCAAACATTAAAAGTAATTAGTTTCCCAGTACAATCTACTATTGTTCCCTATCTTGTATCTTTTCTTAAATTCCTCAGGAACAATCCCTAAGTGGAAGTTGTTGGTTACTGTCAAGTCAATCCCTATCCATGGTGACCCACCCTCAATGTGTGCAGGGCAGAACTGCACAGCCTCAGATTGAATGTAGTTAATTTTCAGAGGTAAGAAGAACATTAAGACTTTTGTATAACAGAGACAAAAAAATATACTGACAAAGCTATGTATTTGGTGATCAATATAAAAGAATCGATTCCAGATAGTTTCTTTAATCCATTGCATATAAGAACTCCCAGGCTTTATAAATAAGGATTTAAAGGTTAGATTACTTCAGGGAGGGAGTGAAGAAAAAAGGGGAGGATATAAAGTCAAGTATATAATATATTGGAACACAATTCCAAAACCTAAATACCTTTTTTAAAATTCTATACTAAGCGAGAGTCACTTTCCTCAGTAAACTAACTGGTTCTTTTGAGTTACAAAAGACAAGTGCGTATTATGGCATTAAGCAAGCTAGATAATGTAGAGTGCAATGTAGTTCTTATGCCAAGAAACTGAAAAGACAGAGCATGATCTTAAAACTATACCAAATTACATTTAAAAACTAATGTCCATAAGGCAGTATAAAACACCCAAGGTTGCTTAAGAATTACTTTAGGGGGAGGGAGTTCAGGCTCTTCACACCATATCGTGGTGTCAGTGTGAGGAGGAAGGGGCCCTGATTCAGGCCTTGATCTTTTGAGTCATTAGTTACACGCACCTGAGAGCTAGACAATGAGTAAGGATGACAGAAGAATTGATGCCTTTGAACTGTAATGCTAGAGAAGAGTACCGAATATCCTATGGACTGCCAAAGAACAAACAAATATGTCTTGAAGAGGGTGCAGCCACAGTGCTTCTTGGAAGCAAAGATGACAAAGTTTCATCTCACATACTTGATAGGATAGAGTTCAGATACTTGACTTGATGGTACCTAAGAACATCCATGAAAAACTGACACCTTATTTATATTTTCTTAAATTTTGAGTGAAGAGAGGAAATCACCACTTTCACAAACTTATTACCACTAGTTTTTATGTCTCATAATGAAACCAGAAAATTCTGTAATATCAGTGCAGTAAGACTGAGGTCCCATTGATAACTTTCTAATAAACGAGCATTATTTTATGTACATAAAAATGTAATTGTGTCAGATTTGGTCTATGAGGTATTTCAAAGATAGAAAAGGCATAGTATGGTCTTTATTTTTTTTTTTGCTCGTTTGTACTCTGAAGCACTACTGTCTAAAATTACAGACTACTTCACCTTGAACAAGAAATGCATAGTAGAAAAACGCAGCTGTTTTAATATTTCTCGTATTTCCCATAAAAATTTACTGTCTCTGAATCCTGACTACTCACTGTGAGTCAAATCAAGTTTTCAAGATCGTGGTTTTCAAGATGGCAATGGTTTTCTTAAGCACTTAAATTATACACAAAACAAACCACTACTGCAGTCCACTTGAGCCTAATTCATGGTGTTCACTCTTCCCTGGGTTTCAAATCTTAAAAGTAACAGACTGCTTTCCTCTTTCTCAACAGGAGAAGCTGGTGAACTTGAGCTATTAATCTGTAGTCTGACAAGTAACTTATTGCACCACACCAAAGCTCCTTATTAAAGCTATGCTGTTGCTTCTATATATCCTTGAGTTGCAATCAACTCATATCTGGTCCTCCAGTGTGTTTTAAGACAGTAAATCACACTAAAGGGAACAGTTGGTGGATATGAATCACATGCCTATATCCCTGAATTGGAATTAACTTATACCTGACCCTCCAGTGCGTTTTAAGACATTAAATCACACAAAAAGTTGGTGGATTTGAATCACATGCCTTTTGGGTTAAAGAGCAAGCCCTTTATCACTAAGTTAACAAATCTCCGTCACTCAAGCTTTATTTAGTATTAGTTAGTTCCTGACACTCATTTCTTTTAAAAAGTGTTCTCTTAGGATTCCTTTACAGACTATTTGACTGAAATTTTAAAAAATGACTATTAAAAATATGGTTCCCAAAAGACTGTAGTTTTTTAGAAAAAGTTTAAAATATCACCTCCAAATAAGTCCTGTGCCTTTTAACGCATTTCCATTCTTTCGAGAATAAGGAAATATTTTATTATATGTACTTTTGGGCATTATTTTCATTATAAAGAACATCTTAGAAGAAGGGGGTGGAGACAGAAAAATAAGTGCAATAAGCAGATTGTTAAGTACATGGAAGAAGTAGTGATACTACAATAAATCAGAAAAGCAACTATACTTTTATACTTGTTAATAAAAGGCAGAACAATGTAAGACAGAAGCAGGTTAAAACTTCTTAAAGTGTGTATCTTTACTATCTCATTATATTTAAGAATTAAAAAGACAGGTGGCAGGGCAGTGGGTAAAGCCCTGATGAGTAAAATAGGAAAAGTGATTCCTGAATGTAGATATTGCCCTCCACCTACCACGTGGCAGTACTGCTTCCAAGTATTTTTTTTTTTAAAGTCCTCAGAGGGCTATTTTAGATAGTCCATTTCAAGCCTACTAAATCAGAATCCCTTTTAAAGAATTAAAATTCTTCTTTCCAAAGAGATCCTTAGTTAATATTCATAGCCATAAGAATCTCTTTCAATTCTCACTTTAATGCTGTGCTAATAATGAATAATTTTATACTTTTGACCCAAGACATCTCCCTAAACACAAAAAGGCAAAAAATGGCAAAGACGACTTTGACCGAAAACTTGACTCTACTAACTACACAAAATCTCTTAAATTTCATGCATTCCCTCTATTACTCAGTTAAAAAAAATTCACTGTATGTTGCATCACTTTACAAGAAATAGTTTAAAGGTCTAATGGCATTCCTCCTTACACATCAATAACCATTAAAACAATATAGTTACTAAATAATTTCTATTTATCTATAAGCAAATACTAGTTTTTATTTAAGTAATTGTATAACTTCCAGCTTATGCTTTACTGGACACTTCATTTCACTTCATTCTGAAATTCCATGAAAAACTAAGTATCTGAAGAATATTAAGTATAAAGGATGATGCTATTTAAAAAGTTGCCTGGTTAAATGGGAAAAATAAAACTAAACCACAAAAAACCTCAAGAGGCACAGGAAGAGTCGAGACACTGATAATCACACTGGTGGAGGCCTAGGCAAACAAAACAATCTGTGAAATTTAATTCACTTCTAATCTGTATGACAGAGACAAATACATTATTCCTCCAGGTTGTACATACTAGATGTAACAGCACATAGAACAGAAGTTCAATTTCCAATATGATTCAAATAGGTGTGAGTAGGCCTGTCATGTATTTAATGTCAATCTGCTGGTAATCGAACCCAAGTTACAACAATCCTACAGGACAAAGAATTGCCCACAGGTTTCCAAGGATACAGATCCTTGGGAAAGCAATCTGTCAGTTTTTTTTTTTTTTCCATGAAGTGGGCTAGTGGGTTCAAAGGACAGCTTCTGGCTAGCAGCCAAATTTTTTTAACTACTGTAAGCTCAGTCATATAGGTATTTCAAAAAGTGAAGAGGTTACGTTTTTATATGGAGTGGTCAGAGAAGGCCTATGATTAAGGTGGCATTTGAGTGCCCTCCCCCCATACCAGATAGTTAGGAATGCCTTCTGAATAGGAGAAATGAAAAGAGTACATGTTTAAAATGTAATTTTATATATTCCAAACCATTAAAACCTTATTGCACAAGAGAGTACTCTTTTTTGAATGACCATTTTTGGACCACTAGAAGCTCTGGTGGCATAGAGAAGACAACAGAGTAGCAACAAAACCCCACTCACTTTTAAAAGCCAACATTCTAGAAAAATTGTTAATAATAATCGTCCAATAGGATAAATCCTCAATTATTTCAACAAAGGAAAAAAAAAGTCACGTTTCTGCTCTTAATTTTATTTAGTCTAAATCACTGAGCAAAGATACTTGGCCACAATTAACAATTGCCTGTAAAGTTTAACAGCAAATTACCTCAAGGATGGTAAATTCTGTTACTTTCCAAGAATGCCAAGAACATGTGATTGGTGGTTTGTTTTTTTAAAAGGAATTAAGCCTGTATACAAAATTTTAAAAGTACTGTGTGTCTCGTGTATACATCCACAACAAAATGACCCCGTCGGGACAATTTTGTTAGGATAAAAACCCGTCCCCAACTCTTAAAGTTGGTGTTTCTGCGCCTCCAAGTCCTTCCTATGCCTTCTAAAGGGTTTTGTGGGCTTAGAACGAAGACTTTATTCGTGGATAAATAAATCACCAGCCTCAACTCAATCTCCTGGCGCTGGGGAAGCAGCGCGGGGCCTCTTGGGAAATGGTGGGTTTAGGCCTAGGCAGGAAGGCGTTCGTAAAACCGTGATGGTGGGCGATACTCACTCCGGCGGGAAGAGACGCAGTTCGTCGATCTTGCCTAGGAAACCGAAGAGGGTCCGCATCTGCTCAGAGCTAGCGCTCGGGGAGACATTAGTCACCTGGATTACCTCGGTGCCGCCGCCTCCGCCACCTCCGCCACCGGGCCCTCCGCTGGGGCCCGGGCCTGCCGTGCTGGGGACGACAGTGGTGTTGCTCATGGCGTTGCTCACGTTCTCGCTCCTGCTTTAACACATCAAACACACAACAAACAGTGAGAGGGAGAGGGAAGAGGAACCGGATCGTGGGAGAGGGAAGAGAAGAGTGCCCGCTGCTAAAAGCCGCTGCTGTGTTGCCTCCACTGCTGTTTCTCCGCCCTGCCACTCGCTGAGGGGGGGGGAGGGGGGGGAGAGCGCGCGAGTTGAGACGGCGAGAAACAAACGGCCACCCCCACCTAGCCAACAACCACCACGCTAGCGGGCCGAGCTCCCAGAATGCCTTGCGGCACACGCGCGCGTCACCGCCGGCCCCGCCCCGCGCAGGCCCAGTACACCTTGCGTGAAGCCAGGGATTACTTGAGAAGTCTGTCTGCTTTACCCTTTTCCATTACTATACAATTTCATGGTACTTTGTTATATATACATTTTAAAAGTTATTATATTCATTAATAACTTATTTCTTTGGAAAAAAGGGAACTCTGGTGGCCTAGTGGATAAGGGAGTTGTTCGGCCAACCCCAAAGCAGGCATTTGAACTAGCGCTGCAGATGCTGAGATTTTTATCCCAGGTGATTTACATCCTCTGAAACCTACTGGAAAGCCCAGAAAAAAAAACAAAGCCTTTGGATCAGATACATCTATAATTTTTTTTTTCACAATAGTGCACATTTTGAAGAACCTCTAAAAAGTATACATTTTCTAGAACCTCCAGTAATAGTGTGATTAAGCACAGCTTTTTTTTTTTTAAGCACAGCTTTTGAACCTGGCGCAGAAAAGGGATTTGACATTACACCAAGAAGACTTTAACTTTATAAAACCTACTGAATAACTCTTGATAGCATAGTCTACACAGTGTTGGGCTGATAACCAAAAGGCCAATTCCATAATTGAGTAGGAAAAAACCTTCCTCTGAAACCCATTCGAGGGTCTGTATGGGTTACGACTGACTGCATTGTAGTGAAACCCCATAAAGTCTATCCTATAGGATTGCTCTGAGTAGGAATCTACCTGATGCACTGCTAATGAGTTGAGTTTTTAATTTTTAATATATTAAAATATTGTTGTATACTGTTGAATCGCAACTGACCAATAGCTAACCCTCCATGATGCACAAGGGAGGAGTTTGAAGCTCAGCTCTCATACTTTGGGCACGTGTAATCCTTGGAGGACAACAGGCTTGCAAGGGTGGAGGGACAGTGGAGAGGAAGAGCCAGGATAAGATGGACTGACACAATTATTGGGGCAAGGGGGATAGCGGTGTCAAGAGTCATTGAGACTGCCTTTGAAAAAGGCAGGCTTCAGAGCTTTGGTACATAGGGTCGCTATGAGTTGCAGGCGACTATATGGCACATAACTTCCATGGAGCAGCTGGTGAATTCGAACCATTTGCCTCTGTGATTGGAGCGCAGCTTCTTGCCACTAGGCTACCAATGGTTCCTATTAAAACTTTCTAAAGAAAGATGTGCTTTACGTACTTAGCACTAGTCTGAAACTTCTATTAAAAATATATGGTTGCCAACCTGCTTCCGGGATTAAAGTTGAACCAGAAGAGAGAATAACACTTATTTTCACTGCTGGCTCCCAGGAGGGAGGGACTTTTCAACTTGAACTATTACTTCCAGAAGAATACTCAATGACAGCTCCTAAAGCACATTTCAGGACCAAAATTTATCACCCTAATTAGATCCAAGTAAGATGAAATTGTTGACAACTTCAATCTTTTCCCCAACTGTCATGATGCTATTGGTCCAGTAGTGAAGATCTTGGTTGTTTTGATGTTGAGATATAATCCTTATGAAGGCTTTAGTCTGATTTTCATCACAAAGCGCTTCAAGTCTTTACTTTCTGCAAGTAAGGTTGTATCATTTGTATAATTCAGGCTGTTGAGTCTTCCTCCAATCCATATGCCACATTCTGCTTTACACAGGAATTATTTGCTCGAAATACAGATTGATTAGGTATGTGGAAAGGATACAAACCTGAAACATACCTTTGCTTGGTTTTAATCTTAGTGTTCTCTTAGTTTAGATAACTGTTTCAACTATATTAAAGTTTCACATGAACACAATTAAGTGTTCTAGAATTCCCATTCTTTTCAATGTAATTCAGTTTGTTACGATCCTCACAAGCACACTTTGCATACAATAAAACCAAAATAAGCATCTTTCTGGTACTCAGATTTTAGATCCAAGCCCTCTAACATTAGCAATGATATCTTTCATTCTAAGACTTTTTCAGAATCCATCTTAAGTTTCTGGCAGTTTCTCGTGAATGTACTGCTTCAGCTGTTTATAAAAATGCTCAACTAGATTTTTTTAGGGAGTTCTGGTGACCTAGTGGGTAAAGAGTTGCAATGACAATTCAAAAGCAGGTACTTTGAATGTATCAGCATTCACCTCCCATTCAGTTTACTGAAACTGACAGTGACCTTATTTATGTACGACAGCTCTGAACCCTGCCCTAAACCAGTCTCACTGACACATCTACCTTCATTACCTCAGTTATTGTGTCAATCCATTTCATTTGTGGCCTTCCTCTCCTGAATTGTCCCTCCATTCTTCCAAGCATCATGTCTTTCTCCAAAGATTGGTCCCTCCTGGCCACATGCCCAAAGTATATAAGACGGAGCTTCAAAATCCTTCCTTCCAAGGAGAATCTTGGTTTCAGCCTCTCTAAGACAGATGTGTTTGTTCTCTTGGTGGTCCTTGGTATGTTCAATACTCTTTTCTCCAGCACCACAATTCAAAGGCACCAATTCTTCCTCTAACATCTGTAGTCATTGTTCAGCTCTCTGATGTGAAGACCATGGCCTGGATCAGGCACACCTTAATCTCTAGAATGACATCGTTGATCTTTAGCACTTTGGAGAGGTCTCTGACAGTAGCCTTCCCCAGTGCAATAAGTCTTTTGATTTCCTGACTGCTAGTGCCAAGAGCGTTAACAAATACAATATCTTTTCAATCTATTGTGGTGCTGCCAATTGGCCCAGTAAGCCAATCTTTGTCTTCTTAATGTGGAGTTCCAATTCGTACTGAAGACTGTTATCCTTGACTTTCTGCAGCAAATGCTTCAGGTCCACCTTAGTTTCAGCAAGCAAGACTGTGTCATCTATATAACACAGTTTGTGGATAAGTCTTCCTCCAACCCTAATGCTACATGAGTTAGTTCCTATTCAAAGGCAATGAGCTTGAGTTTTGAGATGTGGTAAGATTTCACTTGTATGTGATAGTGACAATATTGTTCAATAACCCCACATTCTGTTGGCTCATCTTTTTTTTTTTTTTTAAAAAAAAAAAGATATGGAAACATATATGGATTTCTTCCAGTCAGCAGACCATTAGTATCCACTTATTTAAAAATCCAAAACAAAAGAAAACAAGGGAAGAGCTCATGCTTACCTTATTATATATTTAGTTTCTTAATTCCTTCAACTATTAAACACTGTTTACACTACCAGGTCGCTACTGGGTCAGAATTAACTGATTGCAGTTGGTATGCTAAAAGGAAAGGATCATGAATAAGTTTAGCAGATAATAATACAATGTATATGCTGCAAATATAGCTGCATATATGGTAGAGCCAACAAGGGATAATACCATATAAACTTCTTAACTATGACCAAAACTCTTTGAGGAAATGAGCCTCAGAACCATAGTGTTGTTCTATGCCATCAAGTTGGAATGAACTGATCCTTCAGCAGCAATATAAAAAATGTACAGGAATATGCCATATATCTCATTTTGAGGATTTATATCTTTAGTGATAAATATTAACAAGGCTTGAATGTTAATATTATTTCCATGCAAAGAAGGGGTACATTGCATGTCATTTTGGCATATATAGTATTATTATAGGAAAATACATGATTTCTGATAGGCTTACTAAAAAAACCAAACCAAACCAAAACAAAAACAATACCAAAACCAAAAAAACCCAACAACCCCAAAAATCATCAACCTGCTTCCATAGTTTTTTTATAATCCAGAGTACTCAGGGATCAAAGGAACTAATACTAGAAAGAATATAAACCAAGGAAAAAAAAAAAAGAAGAATCTAAACTAGTACTTGCTTAGTTGTGACAGAAAAGTCTGTAAGAGAATACTAGGTAATGTGTTACACAAACCCTCCCAAGTCATATCAACCCTCTCAGTCATATAGCAAACAAGCTTTAATTCTTTCCACTCTCAAACTACTGAAAGCTCTCATATTTTACAAGGAAATCCTTCAGACTAAAGGTACCCAAAATTAAAATCAATGCTACAAGTGGATTTTAAATCACTGTAACCCTATAGGACAGAAGAGAAATGCCTTAATAGTGTTTCTTTATAAGGCTATATTCTTTATTGAAGCAGACTATCACATCTCTCTTCCACAGAACAGCTGGTGGATTTGAACCTCTGACCTTTTAAAATACCAAGCAGGCACATTAACCACCACTCCTTAAAATAGGCACAGGCATACCTAATGGACACCAGTTCTCAGTTGGACAAAACAAATCATCTTGGTTTTAAAGTCAACTTTAATTTCACTTTTGGAAAAGATGGTGGAGTCCTCCTGAGTGATATAATTTTACAAATACATATATAAGCTAATATACAAATTAGTTGTTGGGTTTTTTTAATATACTAGTTTATTTACAAAATTTAAACACAATGTTTTTCAGACTAGATTTTTCCATTTTCCTTCACCCTCCACTTATCAAATTGTACAACCCCATGATGAATGCTCCCTCCCTCACACTTCCTCATTCCTCTGCTTCCCCCCAACCCCCTCCTTGGATCCTCATATTCATTCCACAATAATGATTTTAAGAGAATTCTGGTGGCCTAGTGGCAAGAAGCGGTACTGCAATTCCAAAGGCAAACAGGTGGAATCCACCATATTCTCTGCTGGAGAAGGAGAGGCAATCTCCTCCTGTGCCTGTCTGATACATACTGTCTGACAGTACATAACAAGAAAAAAAAATTATTATATACAATACTTGTCCTTGTGGAACTAAGTTGACTCAGCATAATGCTCTCCAGTCCCT